TGTGTAATATTTTCAGCATATCTAAAACTGCTAGATATACTAAAAGAAGATTCTTAAACTGGTTCCTAGAAGAGTGCCCGACATACTGAGATCTGACTGTGCTGACGTCAGCTCCCTTCACAACATCACAGACAGTAGTTCCAGAGGGCCCAGCATGATGGTCACAGGTCAAGTACATCTCTGACAGTCTTGTCAGTCCTTGAATCCCTTCATGTTAAACTTTGCTGTGAAGACAGTGTCAGGTCTAGGATTCCATAGGAAAGCAAGATCTGTGATAATGTAGGTGATGGAACTGATCACCAGAGACATAACACTAGTCCTAGAATTGCTCTGTGAAAGTTTGACACATCAAATAGTAATCCCTATTCACTGTATTAAACCCACTGGCCTAATAGGAGATTCCCCCTCCACCCAATTCCCCACAAGTCCCCCCACCCCAACCATCTTCTAGACCAATCAGTGGGTTATCTCTATAAACACTCCCTACCATCACGGAATATTAACAGTGTGTATTTTTGCATGTATATTTCAGATTTGCTTAAACAATTACCTAGGAACTATTATTGAATGTTACTGTTCCACTGGTGTTGAATTAAGTCTGTTCACTACTGTTTGATCTCTGATAACAAACTTAAACTGCAGCTCATGGTTTTAAAACATTTAATATGTGTCTCACTTTTCCAATTTTCAATTTTCTAATGCTGAAGCACTGAGAATATCCCTGACATGGAGGCCTCCAAGCACTGACCATGAAGAACATCACCTGTGAGAAGGTCTGTGACTAGCTGGTGTCATCTTCATTACTCACTGCTGGACGACTACAGGGTGATTCACAGATCCTTGTGACTCAGTGTAGCCATCACTGAAACAAATACACTAAGGTAGCACGCTATGCTTGAAAGATGATGACTAAACTGAGTTAAGGCATGAAAGTTTACATCTATCTCCAGCTCCTGATGGTAGACATAGCTGTTGATATGTTAGGAAGTATTAAAGCATGCCCACTCTGTAATTCAAGGAATCAAAATATTGTTTGTATAAAAGAAAACATCAAAATTGCTTTACGAAAGTGTGTTGGCTTTTATGCATAACATATAGCACTTCATAGCACAGTGTAACATCATCAGTGTTCTAAACTATTTAGAAGTGGTTTCAAGGTTCGAAGAACACTGCAGTAGTTTCACTGCCATGTCTTCTTCAAACAACAGATATAACACTTGGGTGTGATTTGTATGCAGCTTTGGTGGGTTGATATTCTTCGTTGACCCCCTTGCACGATTCCCTTTGGACAAGAAGAGTGTAATCCAGTTAAAGGTACAACTCATTCATGAAATAAGTGTGTTAATAAAACTTGCTTGGGCAATAAAACTCCATATCACCCTTAACGAGGGCCCCAACATATACATAACAGGTTTCTTACTATTTATTTCATGATAAAACATTGGCCACAAACGTATATTGGCCAATACATCTTGAAAGACTTTAGTAAAACTGGTCACATATTTCACCACTCCAAATATGTATTTTGAAACTAGAACTAGATCAGCACTCTCCAGGACAGGAAATATGCATGGAGTAAACATAATATATATATAATTTAATGTGTTTGTCTGCAAACAGTTCCATCAACAATCATTCACTTTATTCAAAATTCTAATTTCTAAAATGTATTTAATAAATGGGCCTTTAACACTGTTTCAGTTCATCATAGCATATCAGCAATGGTGAGAGAAAACTAACAACTCCTGTGTCTTTTGATAAGAAATGTGTCAACACGAGCAGATAAGTCTAAAACTCTTATGGGTAAGTGTTTAAATGTTTGATATAAAAAGACACATATGTAAGATGCCAGTATCACACATAATCATTCCTCCTACTTCTTCAGTTAATCACCAGCATCCTGAGTGTAAACAGCACAGCCAGCAGATAACACTGAAATGTATCACAATGTTCAGGCACAGCAAGCAAAATGTCCTGTGGAAGCCAGCTTGGGTTGATAATCTCCATACACTGTGGCCGAAGGACCTGAGTATGGGAGTGAGCAGGTTGGAGTTTTACACAGACTAACGTCTAGTGTCTAGTCTCTGAAATGAACATATTATTCAGATAAAACAGTTCAAAAATTATAATCTTCAAATATACTGAAGAGGAGTCCAGAGACTTTCTTCATTTTCAGAAGCTTTCCTGTAATCTATACTTGCCACATATTCTAGACTTGCATGGGCTTTCTTCGATATGTTTGTTTCAAGGTTTGTATGACAGACAAGGTGTTTCACCACCATTTCTCCAGGAGCACAGTTGCATACGTTAGGTTCCCTGAGAAAGAATTATCTCTTGACTCTTCCTGAAGTCGATTTAACCAGTTTCATAGTGAAATCGTGAGAAGCAAAATCAATTTTATACTTTAATACTCTGCCAATACATTATCCATTAATGTTATTCCTTGGTGCTTTGGAACTACTTTAGCCTTGAATCCCAATAAATATAGAAATACCACCTACCCACAAAGTGCCATCCAAGATCAGTGAACCCTTCCTAAAGTAAAGTAAACTCCTCATGATGTCAGAACCAAAAGACCTAATCTACATATCTAAACCAACATAATATTTCTGCCAAGTATCGTTTTAAATGTTTTGAAACTAAGCTTCATAAGATTTGATGAGCTATTTCTATTTCCTTAATGTGTTGATTAAATCTTGTTTATCATAAATTTTCTTCCGCATTTGCTGTGAAATTAAGCAGGATATTCTGTAAGCCAGTTCCACAAGACAGCAATTACTGCCACATGACAGGCCTACCGCGGCATCACCACCACAAGATGTAATGCTGCATGACTTCTTCTACATACAAACCCCATTAATTCTTCAACCATGTATTCCCAGGCGGGGAATATACGACCTGAGCATCACTTCGTATCTTCTTCATACATGTATTCTCATTACCAGAGAGAATTTCAAGTAGAAATCAAATGAAGAATTCATCAAAATGCTCCCTTATTGACAAATGTGGAGTCACTTTGGAGTAATGATGGCTCTTGAGATCAATGGGGGCCAATTCCAGTTCAAGTTGATTTTCTTCCCGATGCTAGATGAGAAGTGTGGGTTGTTGGTAATGTTTATTTACACCCTTGGTTGAGACCTGTTGCAGAACAATGCCTGGCTACAGATAAGTTGCTATTGTTTCTAAATGCTGATAGTGCAAGGATAGACTGAACATTCAGGCCTATCAATGTCTAACAAGGTGCTTGGGATATGATCCATTGATATACATAAATCAAAAGAAACCTGTAACAGTATTTGAAATTAGATATACATATTATAAACCAATAGTAAATAATCCACACTTATAATATCTATGTTTTAAGTTTTGTATACTGCATATTGAGGCCTGCAGATATGGTCTATATGACAGATGGGAGCATGTAATAACTGCTGATACAGCACAATATCTGATGAAGAAAGACAAATCATGTAACCTGTATGACCACACTTGTGATAGCTGTTAAGTGTGGCCATCACTGTACAGGAATATTGGATTTCATATCAAGCCTTCCAAGCAGCAAGATTGGAAACTGTTCCCAACATCATATTGGATCTTTGATTGACAAAGATACGGCTTAGGGTTGTCTGGGAACAAGTCTTGCTGCTATAGAAATGACACATTCATCTTTTGCCTTTCTGTTTTCATGCAATGTATTGATTGGCTTGTATACAAGAATCTTAGAAATTGTTTTGAGTGATGGGCTATTGTGACATTGTTGCTTGACAACTTCAGCTACAGTCACGTCTATTATACAACTGTTAGTCTTGCTGCAACCACTGACTGGTTTAAGTGAGGAAGGTCATAAAGTAAACCTTGATGAATGATCACAAGACTTTGCTGTATTCAGTCAATGATGATCCACATATCTGATGCATCCAAGCCAGCCTGTATCATTGGTTGTACTATTGTGTGTGTGTGTCTCACCCTCCTATCTGTCAGATCATGACTCTCTCTATAAGGCTGCCTGTTTCTTTGTATTTCCCAACTCCTAAAGTACAATGCCAATGAATAACAATTATGCAGCTATTTGTCAACTTAAATATATGTCCCACTCACAAACAAACTTTACAAATTTCACACATTCTATCAGAAGAATATCCAAAGAAGGAAAGTTACCCTCTGTCTTACAAGCTCCGAGGCCGTGATTATGTGAACACATGCTCTTTTGGATTCCTAACCGTTGATATTGCTAATTAAAGTTTTCTACTCTATTATTTTCATTTTCTTTCATCCATCTTCTGCCTCAAAAGTTGAATATTGTGACGAGAAGCACACAATATACCGCAGATGGCCCTAATTGTCAGTGTGCACCATGTGTCATTTGGATATTTACCTTGTAACTGTGACCACATCCTGTAATTTACAGCTATATTTACTCTAATACACGCAATTACAAACAAGCCGCCCTATGTGAACTAGCTTCAAGTGCACCATTGCTAACACAGGACATGCTGGTGGTGGTGCATCAAGAGATCCTGGTCCCATTATCACAGTGTGCTGGTGGTCAGTGCTGTCGTGAAGACACCAGTAGTTCTTCATGTCCTCATACTGGACAAGCAACATGACATCCTCAACATGACATGATGGCATCTTCAACATGACATGACATCTTCAACATGACACAATGACATCTTCAACATGACATGACATCTTCAACATGACACAATGACATCCTCAACATGACATCTTCATCATGACATGACATCTTTAACATGATATATGACATCCTCAGTATGACATGACATCTTCAACATGACATGACATCCTAACATGACATGATGGCATCTTCAACATGACACAATGACATCTTCGACATGAGGACACAATGATATCCTCATGGTTAAGACACCATAACACCGTCAAATTGAGGACACCCTGACATATGTAGCATTAGGACACCACATATCTTCAACATTAGAACAAAATGACACCTTGAACACCATGTCATCAGTACCTACCTGCTCTATGTGTCCACGTCGGAGTTCCAGAACACCCAGGTTGTTGTAAGCCTCAGCATGGTCATTGTTGCTGGCGAGAGCCATCCGGAAACACTGGTAGGCCAGGTTCATGTCACCGATACCCTGCAATACACGTATACAGGATAGTTCAGAGCTACAAATAACTTTTTGGGTCATTGAGTTATGAACTCGCTTGTGTTCATCTCAATTGGGTATCCTAAGTTACGTTTGAGTAACCAAATATATTGTACCCACCTCAATCCTACTCAATTGGGTATTTTGCCATTTTCCATAAATTTGTATTAAAAAAATAAAGTTTAAATGTTGGTTTACATGTTTGCTATTCATATTTGATTTGTAATATGAGAAACGATAAGAAATACTGCAAGTAGCCAAGTTCACGTGTTGAAATAAAACATCTCAATATACCTCAGTTATTTTATCTAACCACTGGTACGCAAGCTAAAATGTGACATTTATGTGTGTACGCATGTAAGATCAAACTTATTGAGTACTTTCAAAACTTCAAGCATACTTGTACACAATAGACTTAATAGGAATTGAGTTTTCATATAAATATTTGCATAATTTACGCAAATACGCAGCTTATCTGTACCTCTGATAGTTCATGTCAGAGTTACCGTGTCATACACACATGCAGTATAGTTCATGTCACGGATACCCTGTCATACACAGATACAGTACAGTTCATGCCACTGATACCCTGTCATACACACATACAGTATAGTTCATGTCACCGATACCCTGTCATACACACATACAGTATAGTTCATGTCATCAGTACCCTGTCATACACATACAGTATATTCATGTCACCGATACCCTGTTATACACACATACAGTATAGTTCATGTCACCGATACCCTGTCATACACACATACAGTATAGTTCATGTCATCAGTACCCTGTCATACACATACAGTATATTCATGTCACCGATACCCTGTTATACACACATACAGTATAGTTCATGTCACCGATACCCTGTCATACACACATACAGTATAGTTCATGTCATTGATACCCTGTCATACATACATACAGTATAGTTCATGTCATCAGTACCCTGTCATACACATACAGTATATTCATGTGACCGATACCCTGTTATACACACATACAGTATAGTTCATGTCATTGATACCCTGTCATACATACATACAGTATAGTTCATGTCATCAGTACCCTGTCATACACATACAGTATAGTTCATGTCACCGATACCCTGTCATACACACATACAGTATAGTTCATGTCATTGATACCCTGTCATACATACATACAGTATAGTTCATGTCATCAGTACCCTGTCATACCCATACAGTATATTCATGTCACCGATACCCTGTTATACACACATACAGTATAGTTCATGTCACCGATACCCTGTCATACACACATACAGTATAGTTCATGTCATTGATACCCTGTCATACACACATACAGTATAGTTCATGTCATCAGTACCCTGTCAAATACATACATTAAAATCATGTCACCGATACCCTGCCATACACACATACAGTATAGTTTATGTCATCAGTACCCTGTCATACACACATACAGTATAGTTCATGTCACCGATACCCTGTCATACACACATACAGTATAGTCGTGTCATCAGTACCATGTCATACACACATACAGTATAGTTCATGTCACCGATACAATGTCATACACACATAGTATGATACAGTATAGTTTGTGTCATCAGTACCTCGTCATACACATACAGTATATTCATGTCACTGATACCCTGTCATACACACATACAGTATAGTTCATGTCACTGATACCCTGTCATACACACATACAGTATAGTTCATGTCACTGATACCCTGTCATACACACATACAGTATAACTGACAGGATGGCAATGTACTGGGTCTGTGTCACCAATAACATGAAATTGTGAAAGTTTATTTGTCCTCTTGTGACCCTTGCACTTCTAACATATGCCAACAGAATTCTTCCAAGGCCATATGGAAGAAGTCCATAGTATGACACCCTCTGATATCACTAACCATTGCAGCTTCATGGTGCTATTAACATATCTTCTCTCAGAGAAGGTGATGCTCTTATAGATTGGCTAACTGAATAAGATCTTTATAATACAACAAGCCAAATTCCATGTCCTGGACAAGTTTAGGTCATACTATGGTCCTTCAAGATATTCAAAGTTTGAAACATGATGATTTATGATAGGGCTTTTTATTCCAAACATAAGTTCAGATTACCATGTGTAATTGTCTCGTACACTAAGCCAAAACAACAGTGAGACGTAGTAATAAACAAGTATTGTCACTAAGGTCACATAATCCCCCGCCGCAAATTATCAAATCTTTCTTATAAAGTAATGAAAGTTTAAGATGAAGTTAAATGTCAACAAAAACATGAACAGTCAACCTCTCTTGATATGTTGATCTTTAGTTGTTCAAACACACACATATTTTCCAGACTGACTTTGACCTTGACATGAATGTCATAGTGTATGAAATATGCAAAAATAGTACTAAAGAAATCGCTTATTGAAAAACATTCAAGGGAAGTCTTGAAAGTCTATGAAGAAAATCCAGCGCACTGTTCTTGATATATCTGGTTGACAATTCAGGTTAACATGCTGAAATCTTCAAAGTGTCATCGTGACCCTGAAAATTATGTGAAGGTCACCAAAATTGACTGGGCACTGGGCCTTCCCTAGATAATGCTTGGTGTCAAAAATGAAGAAAATCCAGTGAACGGTTCTTGAGATAGCGTAACATGCAGGTTAACATGCTGAAATCTTCAAAATGTCGCCATGACCTTGACAATTATGTGAAGGTCACTAAAATCGACTGGGCCCTGCGCCTTCCCAAGATAAAGCTTGGTGTTGAAGATGAAGAAAATTCAGGGAACGGTTCTTGAGATAGCGTAACATGCAGGTTAACATGCTGAAATCTTCAAAGTGTAGCCATGACCTTGAAAATTATGTGAAGGTCACCAAAATCGACTGGGCCCTGCGCCTTCCCTAGATAAAGCTTTGTATTGAATATGAAGAAAATCCAGTTAATGGTTCTTGAGATAGCTTAACATGCAGATAAAATGTTAAAGCCCCCTTGTGACCTTGAAATGAAGGCCAAGGTCACCAAACCTGACTTGGAACTTTCTTATACTGTGATGACTGACGGACTGACTGACTGAGTTTGGTTTTACGCCGCTTTTAGCAATATTCCAGCAACATCACGGCATTGTGCCCATGTGGGGATTCGAACCCGGGTCTTCGGCGTGACGAGCCAACGTTTTAACCATTAGGCTACCCCACCGCCCCTATATATACTGTGATGAACCTAGGTACCAAATATGAAAAGAATCTAGTAAACGGTTCTTAAGATATTCCAATTCGCTAAACGCACGGCAGGGAGAATAATAATGTGTCCATTTATATAGCGCCAAATTCCACGCTATGCTCATAGCGCTAACAATCAATAAGGCATTTATGAAGTCCATTGATATAGAACATTTTGTAGAGAAAGGTTAAGAGATGACACTTAAAGTTTTCAAGGGTTGGAGACAGCTTAAGTTCATCAGGGAGGGAATTCCATTTGACCGATGCCATGTTCTAGTAAGACTTGTATCCAAATGATTTGAGGTTTCACTTTAGTACACAGTACAGATAAGAGGAGGATGAATGCAGAGTTCTTGTTGGCATGTAAGGAGAGGGGAGTTCTTGAAGATAAATCGGTGCGCTACCATCATTGGACTGATAAGCAAGTTTAAGGATCTTGTAGTCAATGTACATACATTTCATCACTTATGATTCGGTTATGATCATACCAGTGATTCGGTTATGATCATACCAGTGATTCGGTTATGATCATACCAGTGATTTGATTATGATCATACCAGTGATTCGGTTATGATCATACCAGTGATTCGGTTATGATCATACCAGTGATTCAGTTATGATCATACCAATGATTCCGTTATGATTATACCAATGATTCGGTTAAGATTATACCAGTGATTCGGTTAAGAGATATCTCAACAGATAGAGCTGAAAATAATTTTAATGCAATGAAGAAATTGTACCTGAAAGTATTATTTCACCAGAAAATATATTCAGATTTCTTCTGGTTTGCAGATTCTGCTACAAAACACCATCATTTGTATATTACAAGAGCATTTAAAAAAATTGTCTGTAGAGAATATATACTGGTTGATCTTTGACACAAGTAATCATCACCTTTATACAAAATTGCTTGTATTAGAAGACAATATAACATGAACATCATCATGAACACATCACGTTAATCAGATTATCATCCATTTGATCTCCCATCCTCAAGGTCTAGGTATACCCCTCTACCACAGTGATCAATTACAACAGTCAATGACAGCTTCAGCCGGATGGCCTTTAGGACTGCTGTTACGGTGGACGATGTCTGAGTGGCAGTCATCACTGATCTCAGAGTGTGGACAACGGGGATGAAGTCAAGACCTGCCGTCAACCTATACATTACACCTCGTAATTACACGTTATTGATCAGGGGTCAGGCTTCTGCCCTGTGGTTAGTAAAGTTCAGGGTTGTTGATGTCTTGTATATTTCATTGCATGTCAATAACCTGTATAATTCATTGCAGGTCAATAACCTGTATATTTCATGTGTTGTTGATTACTTGTATATTTCATGGGTTGTTGACAACATTTCATTTTCATATTACATGTCACACGTCAGTCCTGTTCCCATGGAATTCCCTTCATTTTGTCATCACAAATGAAGTAATATCAATATCTAATTAATTTTCATATTTCATTACATTTCAAAATGGAGAAAGTTATAAATTCATTTTTATATTTCAAAACCCTAAATTGTATTGAAATATTCACTTTAAAAACTTCCACTAAATTATTAGTAAGACTATTGTGCTTGTTTGTTTAACAATGATATCTGATAACATGTTTGATAATCAGCATGGACACTTACTAAGTACTGAAATGTGGGATCCGGTCTTTTCTCCATCCCATACAATACCCCCACCCAAATATATCTGGCCTGAAATATACAGACTTCACTGGGATGGATTATGTGTGAATCATTTGCTTGTCCTAAAATATCATCTGCTGAGATTCCATGTACCTATCTCCTACACAAGACTTTAAATTTCTGACAGTTTGCCTTAATATTCCCCTTGACTATTGAATTTATCTTGATTTCCTTCCAAATGAGCACATAGGACACAATATTATGTGTCCATGAAACTCATTACAGTACGTAAACACACATTTCAAAGATCGTAAATCATGTTTATTTCACAGAGGGTAATGACAGGTCAAGACTGGTCAATAACCATGTGATACGCATCACAGACCAATCACATTACCTGGAGTGTCATATCACCACCTGTAATAGACGCTCTGTCAAGGCGGTTGATGTGTGAAATAGACGAGGTATATTGTACATAAACACCACCCTAGCTGTGATAACTTACACTGTCAGGGGGATATAAATCAGTTAATGATTTCTCAGTCATGATACAGCATGGTTGGTAAACATCTCCAGTACCCAGCAGGGTCATGTCCCCTAAGTAAGTTTGTTTAAAGTTACTAGGTCTAGGTTTTAAACATCTGAAAACGCCATATACATATGAATAATGCAACAAATTTAAGTTTACAAAAAAAATATCATTAGTGACTTTTTTATAACATTTGCAAATTTTAGTTTAACGTCTATTAAATGAGAAACAAATTTGTCCAGCAATAGTGTTTAACTGATTACAATTGTCTTACCAGTGCCACATGACCGATGTTGAACCAAATATCCCCAAGTGTCTGGTCATCAGCCAATGAGAGTGCTCGTTCAAAACATGTGAGTGTCATGTCATACTGCTGGGCATAGAAGCAGCACAACCCCAGATTGTTGTAGAGTTCCGCGTTGAATACCCCCATCTGTAGTAACCGTCTGGAAACAAATGGGTAGATTTTAGTAACATGGAACAACATCTGCAGTAACCGTCTGGAAACAAATGGGTAGATTTCAGTAACATGGAACAACATCTGCAGTAACCGTCTGGAAACAAATGGGTAGATTTCAGTAACATGGAACAACATCTGCAGTAACCGTCTGGAAACAAATGGGTGAATTTCAGTAACATGGAACAACATCTGCAGTAACCGTCTGGAAACAAATGGGTAGATTTCAGTAACATGGAACAACATCTGCAGTAACCGTCTGGAAACAAATGGGTAGATTTCAGTAACATGGAACAACATCTGCAGTAACCGTCTGGAAACAAATGGGTAGATTTCAGTAACATGGAACAACATCTGCAGTAACCGTCTGGAAACAAATGGGTAGATTTCAGTAACATGGAACAACATCTGCAGTAACCGTCTGGAAACAAATGGGTAGATTTCAGTAACATGGAACAACATCTGCAGTAACCGTCTGGAAACAAATGGGTAGATTTCAGTAACATGGAACAACATCTGCAGTAACCGTCTGGAAACAAATGGGTAGATTTCAGTAACATGGAACAACATCTGCAGTAACCGTCTGGAAACAAATGGGTAGATTTCAGTAACATGGAACAACATCTGCAGTAACCGTCTGGAAACAAATGGGTAGATTTCAGTAACATGGAACAACATCTGCAGTAACCGTCTGGAAACAAATGGGTAGATTTCAGTAACATGGAACAACATCTGCAGTAACCGTCTGGAAACAAATGGGTAGATTTCAGTAACATGGAACAACATCTGCAGTAACCGTCTGGAAACAAATGGGTAGATTTCAGTAACATGGAACAACATCTGCAGTAACCGTCTGGAAACAAATGGGTAGATTTCAGTAACATGGAACAACATCTGCAGTAACCGTCTGGAAACAAATGGGTAGATTTCAGAAACATGGAACAACATCTGCAGTAACCGTCTGGAAACAAATGGGTAGATTTCAGTAACATGGAACAACATCTGCAGTAACCGTCTGGAAACAAATGGGTAGATTTCAGTAACATGGAACAACATCTGCAGTAACCGTCTGGAAACAAATGGGTAGATTTCAGGTAACATGGAACAACATCTGCAGTAACCGTCTGGAAACAAATGGGTAGATTTCAGTAACATGGAACAACATCTGCAGTAACCGTCTGGAAACAAATGGGTAGATTTCAGTAACATGGAACAACATCTGCAGTAACCGTCTGGAAACAAATGGGTAGATTTCAGTAACATGGAACAACATCTGCAGTAACCGTCTGGAAACAAATGGGTAGATTTCAGTAACATGGAACAACATCTGCAGTAACCGTCTGGAAACAAATGGGTAGATTTCAGTAACATGGAACAACATCTGCAGTAACCGTCTGGAAACAAATGGGTAGATTTCAGTAACATGGAACAACATCTGCAGTAACCGTCTGGAAACAAATGGGTAGATTTCAGTAACCTGGAACAACATCTGCAGTAACCGTCTGGAAACAAATGGGTAGATTTCAGTAACATGGAACAACATCTGCAGTAACCGTCTGGAAACAAATGGGTAGATTTCAGTAACATGGAACAACATCTGCAGTAACCGTCTGGAAACAAATGGGTAGATTTCAGTAACATGGAACAACATCTGCAGTAACCGTCTGGAAACAAATGGGTAGATTTCAGTAACATGGAACAACATCTGCAGTAACCGTCTGGAAACAAATGGGTAGATTTCAGTAACATGGAACAACATCTGCAGTAACCGTCTGGAAACAAATGGGTAGATTTCAGTAACCTGGAACAACATCTGCAGTAACCGTCTGGAAACAAATGGGTAGATTTCAGTAACATGGAACAACATCTGCAGTAACCGTCTGGAAACAAATGGGTAGATTTCAGAAACATGGAACAACATCTGCAGTAACCGTCTGGAAACAAATGGGTGAATTTCAGTAACATGGAACAACATCTGCAGTAACCGTCTGGAAACAAATGGGTAGATTTCAGTAACATGGAACAACATCTGCAGTAACCGTCTGGAAACAAATGGGTAGATTTCAGTAACATGGAACAACATCTGCAGTAACCGTCTGGAAACAAATGGGTGGAGATTTCAGTAACATGGAACAACATCTGCAGTAACCGTCTGGAAACAAATGGGTGAATTTCAGTAACATGGAACAACATCTGCAGTAACCGTCTGGAAACAAATGGGTAGATTTCAGTAACATGGAACAACATCTGCAGTAACCGTCTGGAAACAAATGGGTAGATTTCAGTAACATGGAACAACATCTGCAGTAACCGTCTGGAAACAAATGGGTAGATTTCAGAAACATGGAACAACATCTGCAGTAACCGTCTGGAAACAAATGGGTAGATTTCAGTAACATGGAACAACATCTGCAGTAACCGTCTGGAAACAAATGGGTAGATTTCAGTAACATGGAACAACATCTGCAGTAACCGTCTGGAAACAAATGGGTAGATTTCAGTAACATGGAACAACATCTGCAGTAACCGTCTGGAAACAAATGGGTAGATTTCAGTAACATGGAACAACATCTGATAGTGTCCAAAAACATATCATGTAAGTTCCTCCAATGCCAAGTCACATCTCTTTTATTAAAAGTCATGCCCTTAGGCCATTGTAAACTTGTCTAAAAGTTTCATATAATTAAACAAAATGGTAGGCATGACTTGGTGTCCTCCCATAAGAACTACATCCCATAAGAACTACAGCTTAAAACAACACATGTTATGGTCCAGTGCACAGATTAACTACATGCTGTCAGCCGCATCTGCTTAATGGATTTGCACAAAACAAATAAAACATATATAATGTTTTAGCTGCGGCAGTTCATGTTGGTTTTGATAGTAAATAGTTTGCCTTCACAAAATGTAAATTTGCAGTCTTCAGTTATGATTGAACAAGTTCCGTATCGAGGTGCTTGACATTTTGTTACACTGACTGATAAACCGTTTTTCATAGCATTACTTTTATACAAAATTGGAAGATTTGCTTTTATAATGGGCATAATTGTACAGTTATTAGGACTGTAGGTATTAACAAATGGAAGAATGTCCATCTCTGTATTTGTTTCTTGTTTTCATGGGACTCTTGGGACTTTTACTGCTTTATGAACAGCATTTTCAACTCCCTAAGAAGATATGTGTTATATATCTATTACATATTACCTATTGTCACTAACTGTAACGTCATACGTATGATGCAGCATAGCTACTACCGTTATGCGTCACCTATGACGACACTTAGTTTTCATTGTACACATGAAGAGCCGTTGAACAGCGAAAAGATTTTGTGCAGATAAAGTCTGGAGTTTCGTTTGTATTTCACCTTTACTTCTATATACCTTTACCTTTACTCTAATATACTAAGCTTGGCTTGTTTGTTTCTATCATATGAATACAAGAACATTCACTAACTAAAGCATACCCTTCTCTCTTGTCCTTTACTTTCTGGTTATTACCTTTACAACAACATAATTACTGGTCAATAGGATTTTAAGCATGTAGTTCTTCTGGGAGAGCTGATGGGCTGTGCTCATTACATGCCATGGGGGTGCCTCTACTCAGATAATGAATCCCTAATTAATCCCTGTAGTTAATTTGGGATGTAGTTCAAATGGGATGTAGTTCTTATGGGAGTAAACCGTTTATCTCACTGCATTGTTTGTACATACTTAATTATACCTCCTTCTTCCCTTGTATATACTCAATTTACATATCTGGCTTCCTGTACATCTATATATATACTGTACTGTTCACTCTCACCATTATCCACCTGAAGAAGGGGCAAGAACTAGCCCAGAAACGTTGTGAAAAATAAATCAAGAAGTTGTTATCCATAAGATTTGTCTTGTATTTATCTCTGTTAAGTTATTCATTCTTGTCTCTTGGCAGTGGTTATCATTAACTACTACTCAATACATGTTTTTCAAGTTGTAATTTGTTAAAGACTAGTTTTTTTAATCTCTTAATTGATTTTTTGTGCTAGATTGTAAATACAGAAATCATTTGTGACAGGATCAAAGAAATACTATCTCCCTGAAATCTGCGCCATCAAACAAAAAACTTCTCATTTTGGTGACCAATTATCTCTTTCAAATGTCATAGTCATTGAAATATTTACTACACAACTAGTTCTGGCAACATGATCCTGGCAGCCTCAGGCGGATCTACTTAAAGCAGGTGTAATTTTCTATACCTGACATGTCAGACTGACACAAATACAACCAATTTTCTTTAACTTTTGCCCTTTATTCATAGAGATGTGAGCATATTTACTTTGTCAGCAGATATGCACAAAAACGTTTATATCCCGATCAGGAGATAATAGCACTGAATCCACAATCTCGCTGTCAATCTGTATTATTATCCCCACCACTGATCTTAATGTCAGGAATCTCAACAGTGTATTGATTGGAGTTATGTAATGTCTGCACGACATGCTAGTTCCCTTCAAATTTTTATGCATGCTCAGAGATAAACAGAAAGGATCTTATCGATTTATAATAATGCCTCGTCCAGGATGAAAGCTGTCTCCTCACGAATTCTTTTGGTGTTCCTGATGACAGAAATGGCACCATCGATCACCCATGATGCAACTGTCTATCCGGTCATTATGGTCACACATGCTTCATGGATCGAGTCTCACGTGGCCCAAGATGTAAAGTGTGGTTACATCATGGGGATCAATGACCTCTTCTCCTCCACGATTGGACTGAGATTGATGTTCATTGGATTTGGGATCAGATTTTGTGAGGCATAATAAACCTGACACCTTGTGTAGGCTTTGTTCCTGAAGTTAACCCTTCATAGTCTTAGCTTTGTTCCTGAAGCTAACCTTTCATAGTCTTTAGCTTTGTTCCTGAAGTTAACTTTTCATAGTCTTAGCTTTTTACCTGAAGTTAACCTTTCATAGTCTTAGCTTTGTTCCTGAAGTGAACCTTTCACAGTCTT